TGCAATGTTAAGTTAAAATGGTTCATTGTATTGCAGAAGACAAAAGAACAATTTGTGTCATGTTAATAATACTGCAGATTTGAATTCTAAGCTGTCACTCCTTCCATAAAAATATTGCACTTTTGTGCAACAAGGGCCAAATCCTTTACTTATTGAGATGAATAGCAAAATTTCCACTGACTTCAAATGAACTAGCATTTGACCTTAAATGAAATTGTTAAAGCTCTGTTGCCACAAACAATATTGACTTCACACTTACAAATACACATGTCCACATTTAAGGACACCCGATCACAGATCTATGCACACGTTTACGCAGACAGGCCAGTTTATATACATATGGACACTGATATGCATCCATTTATACATAGGCATGCATGTGGACGTGCATGCACATACATTTATCCAGGCACCCAAACCCATTTACACAGAAACACTACATGCATACCCATGTCCAGGCTTGCATGCCCTGGCACATGCATGTACATAAAAATACATAGGCACACTTATGCATATATACAAGCAAATGTGTGCCCACATGTACACAGCTGTATTTGCAGACACAAGTGCACACATGTTTGCACGCACAGTGATGTTCTCGCAGATACCTTTTCTAGACTAGTTCTCTCCCTCTCTGATTCACCTGCACTTTCTTAAACTGTTCACAACCAAACCAACCCCTAGAGAAGCTTCTCATTTTGTTTCAGTAAAATGCATTTAATTAAGAGGGGTTTTCCTCTCTTGGAAGTAATTTGCTTTCATTTGTTAGACTTGGAATCTTTGATAACGTATGCTAAAGTGGAAAAAAAAAACAACAACAAGGGGAAAGAGATTTGTTTTCTAAAAGCCAAGGAGACTGCATTAGAAAAAATGTGATAAAATCAGCTCAGCTGATGATTCACGGTCACATTTCTCAGTGTCTGTTTAAAAAAAAAAATCATTTCTGATCTCTAGATTTCCAGAATGTAAGCATCCAGCAATTGATCAGATTTATCTTTTCCCTTCCTTTGCCTGTTTCCTTACATTGCATTATTTTTCCGGTAGTCTTCCACTCCAGTTAATTTCTGCCTTTTAAACTAGATGGAAGAAACAAGATCTCCACTCAGAGGCTACAGATAAGCACAAAGATCTTTGGGATTCAGGATCCAATTAGGTAAAATAGCAGCTTGAAGGAAGGTTAACTTGCATGAACTGAAAAGGCTTTGGAAGAGTGTGCCCTCTTGTGGCCATTGAGTGCTTTACTGAGCACAGAAGGATGTGCACTTAAATAAGCATCTTTTAAAAAAGCCATTGATTAAACAATTTAAGAGGGATAAATGACCCATCCTCCTTTTTTCCCCCCTCATCCCCACCAAACACCTTGCTGTTAATGCCAGGGCTGGCTATCTGTCTAGGAAAAGAGATGTCTGAGTCTTTACTGTCAAGTCAATTCACGTCTAAATTTGAAAGGAAATGACGCAAAAAGATAAAGCTGATGTGAATAGCTATCACAATTCTCATTTATTCTCAATATCTCTAATGACAAGCTTTAGGATTTCAATGCTTATAACTCCCCTCTCTTACCCAGTGACTGATGTTAGCAACCCTGTTCAGTGCTGATTTAGTTGCCAGGATCAGTATATGCACTTGGCACTATCCCAGGGCTTAGTAGTTGATTGGCTAATAAGCTATCTATTTAAAAAAAAATAAAGGGGTTAGTAGCCAACCAGATTTTATAAGCATTGGCTATCTAAGCAATGGAAACTTGTGGCTATGCTTGTCAAGAACATATATGTCTGCCCCTCCCCCCTTTTCTCTAACACAACTGCTAAGACCTTGAAGTAAACCACAGCGTTTTGGCAAAAAGATGCTCACAGTAGAACTAATCTCAGTTAGTAATCTTAGCTGGATATGTAAGTAGAAAATCATTTTCATGTTTTATTTGTTAGAATGCCAGGGTACAGAAGGGTTCTTTTGTAAACTTTTGCCCAATACTCTTTGTCATTAGTTTTACAAAGATGTGCCTGGAATTGTAGCAGTGAAAAATACCTGCCAAGACTTCTGCTGATCTCAAGGATATGAGGACACCTGTGCTTTAGAAGAGTTCAATACATTTACTCTAGTCCCTCCCCCCACCTCACTCCCACCCATTTATCTATATCCTCTCCTATTTTTCATTTTAGTCTCAGTGTTTTATAAAACATCAGCCTGAATATAGATTTTGAAGAACAGAATAGACGCACAGAGTAATGTGGGCACACTTCATTTTCATTGTATAGTTGTGTGCAATAGCTGGAGACGATTTCACAATGAAAAGTGAAATATCTCTTTTTATGCCTGTGAGTATAGAATAACCACAATTCCTGAGAGGGTGAAGTATGATAGGATTATGTGTGGTCACACCCACACAAACAAAAATCTGAATTCTTACTCCTATTTTCACTAGCATTTAGCTGATTTAACTCGTGTCAAGCTTCCATTCATTTTCATTGATTCTCTACTGCTTCCTTTTTAGATGATGGAGGTTTCTAGTAAGAGTAGCAAGAATATTATCCAAACTGAAAGAAGAGTATATTTAGTCTCATACCTCAATGTTGTAGACTCTTTATCAACTGTTTTCTTATTAATTGTTATAGGCATTGAGGATTGCCCATGGATCTGTGTTCTGTTCCTGGCTCTTCCACACACTTCTTTTATAACCCAAGAGAAGTTGCTTGAATTCTCTTTGCCTCAGTTTCCACATGTGCACAATAGGGCAAATAATACTGCTTTAGGATTTAACCTCCATCTTTACAAGTGAGTATGTGTCAGCGAGCTGATGTCAAGCTGAATTAAATCATTAGTGTTTGTATAGCACTGTGAGCTCCATGGATGGAAAGTGTTATTTAACTGTAAAGTATTATTAATAGATCTTGAATTTATAGAGGAAAATTATTTGTTCAGCAGGTTAAAGAACTGACTAGCAGTAATGACGCTACTGGAAGTCATTTTTTTCCATTATAAACCTAGACTCTTGTACATATCTACTTAATTCAACACTTTAAAAAAAAATTCCCTTACTCTCCTTCCAACTAAATGTCCAGTTGATATGGAAAAAAGGCCCCAAACATCTCTTAGAACATACCTGCCATGGCTCTAAGAAGGTGGAGTGCATCAATGCAACCAAAAAGACAAGAGAATAAAATTCTGCACCCTGCATTCTGCTAAAGAACTAGATACCACAAATCTTGTTAAATTAATTTTGTTATTAATATTGATCGTTATATGGACGTAAATCAAATTGGTGTTGTGTGAGCGTTCAGTAGTTATTAACAGAGAGATTGGCAGCTGGACTATTGGCCAGTCTGTGGGCAATGGCACAATTATTTTTGGTCATGTGACTCTGAGCCAATTGGATTAGGAGTTGCAATTTAAGGCTGTCGTGTTTAATAGGCATATATCAAACTCAGAATTCCTTTGCATCAGGGCTCAGGAAAGACAATAATGAGTTTACAAATAATTGGGACTCACAGGATGAACAGAAACCACTATTCATTCCATATGTGTTCCACTCTGCTTTGAGAGGGGTGCTGAAAACCAGGTGCGGAGCCTGTTCATTAGCCTAGCAATTTCTTTGCTTCCATAAGTCCATTTCTTAAACAGGTAGAAAATCACAGCTGCTTCAAGTGCTCACTTGCACTGAGATCTTCTATCCAATGTTTGAAATGGCGAGCACACAAGGGAAGAAAAGCACGACTCTTCCCAGGGAAAGAACTGATAACGGCTGCATTGACAAGAACGCCTAAGGCAAGGGCTTCTTGTACAGTTGGAAGCCATACAGCCGGCAGGAATGTCTGCTCTTAAAAGCATGCACACTTCTGTGCATGGCTTGCCTGCAAACAGAACATCTGAGTCAACAGGTTTTCAGGACTGGAAATTCTGAGTGTTGTCTTAATTGTTTATACTGCCGCAGCAAACTTTTAAACAAAAATGCTTGGAGTTCCTGTGCATACTTTGCCTACCATATGCTGTACCAAACAAAACAGTGACATTCTTTTAAAACTGTCTTGGCAACAAGAAAAATTCTTTGGCTAGACAGCATCATAAAAACAGTTGCTATTAGCAAGTTCATACCTTTTCAGATTGGTGATACAGCTATAGCAAGTTGTAGACGATCTTATGTATATGCATATACATATATTCTATTGTACTGAGTTCTGGTTCTACTCATTTAGGAGAGAACGTTACAGCGGCTTTCTATAGGCGCATGATGAGGTTTTGAGCAACTAGTTAGTAAATTCTATACACTGAACATTTTATTCTTACCAATTAAAGAGAGCAGAGTAGTTCAAAGTGAACACTGTCAAGGTTGCATTCTTTGGCAGGGAGCACTTAGGAACAGAATCTTTCCTTCTTTTTTTTTTTTTTTTTTTTTTTTTCAGCATGCAAAAGTTAGCATTACAAATTGGATCATCTACAAGTATTTGTCCTGGTTCTATTGAAGTTTATCTGACAGTCGCTGAAACAATGTATTGCCTAGGATGCTGTGCTAATTAAACAACAAAAATGCCCTCTCGCTTGTCTTAAGTTAAATATTCTCCATGTGGTATAATATTTTTTTAAACAAGGAAGGTTTATTTTAAAAAATAGTATTTAGATCCCTTTCTTTCATCAGAAACTTTCTGAGAGGTTGCAGCTCTTTCCCTTTCACCATCAGACCCAGGATCCAGTACTTCAATGCAACTGCTCTGGTTTCACAAGCAGTTTGGAAGATTCCTTTGCAGCCTGACTTTCTGCTCAAGATTGGTTAGATAGCTTCCTTACTGTTTGGCTGTGTGAGTTTAGCAAGTGTAAGCAAGTAAGCTGTATCCAAAACTTAATCAGGTAGAATCACATTCTTTTACAGTCCTTTTCTCTTTGCCCCCTCTCCCCCTTTCACCCTATAATCTTACAGGAAATATTATTGTTGGGGAGAAGAAACAAGTTAATTGCAGTTCTGGCATAGAAAGATATATTTTACAGTAATTTTTTCTAGCACTCACCTGATTCTGCAAATGTGATGATTTCTGAAGTTTGCTCTACAAGTTCATTCATTTCTGCTCTTCTTCCAATGTCATCCTCTATTTCCACATAGCCATCCTCTCCCACCTTTCCTACGTGGAGTTTTTTTATGGCGTTTAAAAGTGCTGCCTTGGGCACCGGCTGGGTGATGTTAGGTCTGTCCCTCAAGTGCAACATGTTCAGTATGTGCTTCTTTACTGCTTCCACCATCTCAGGCTGTGAGCTTGGCACATCCTTTGAGAGAGTGGCAAGGGCACACGATGGGCAGTCAGTAACTGAACTGTGCCCCTCATTCCCTGGGGTTGGAGAACTCCTCGCTATAATCCAGCAAAGCACCAACAAAAATCCTCTCTTCAAAAGCAAAGGCATCCTGGCAGCAAAAGTTGTTGTGATTCCCTTTTTAAAAGGCCCTGCTTTTCCTCTCTCTTCACACACAGGTTTTTTGTTGTTTGTTTGTATGTTTGTTTTTTCCCCTCGCCTCTTCAGCAAATTCTCTGGAACAAGAATAGAAAGTTTTCTGTGAAGTTTTGTTTGCAGGTTCCCCCTCTGAATGCAGTAAGTGCTGTAGATGTTTGTGGCTGTCAGGGAGAAGAGTTCTGACTCTGTCTCAGAGTAGGAGAGAGACACACACAGAGAGAAAGAGGACGGATTGGCCTAAAGTGAGTGAGTGAATGAGAGAGGGAGGGAGTTTTGTCTGTGAGTAAGGGCTATGATTAGGAAAGGGGGAGGAACAGCCAAGCTGCCTTCCTTATGCTCATTGCTCCCTAACCCACACCTCTCTTCAAATATCACCACTCATGTTTTCTGCCCTCCCCCACCCCCCTTTGCTTTTTTTTTTAAATCTCTTTCACTTCTTTTGACTTTACTCTTTCTCTCTCTTAATTTTTCTGTTTGAGTTTCCTTGCTATAATTCCCCATCTTTTTCTATTTTTTCAACAACATTACAAGCTTAACGGAACAGGAGAAAACTGAATGAAAGAAAAGAGTACACCCTGTTGATAAGCACCTTGTTTTTGCTCCTGTACAATATTAGATGTTAAATAGTGTGTGTGTGTGTGGGGGGGGGGGTATGAAGACAAGGAATCTGAATGTTTGGAGCTTAACATTGTTCTGTCCTGAATGAAAAAAGAGAAAAGATGCTACTTTTCCATTTACTTTTTAATGGTCAAAGTTATCAACACTGGCAAGAAATCTGAAGGGAGCAAAATAAAACTTTTTTGTTGGGGGGATGGGGGTGTCGAGGGGAGCTATACAGTACATTACACTTTTTTCAGCTGCACAGTGCAGCCAAGTATAGAAAGACACAAGCAGGAGACAGTACAGCACATATCTGTGTCATATTAAGATACTGCCTTCCTATCCAAATATATGCCTCATTCTACCCTAGTGTTCGCCCAGAACTTCTCAAACAGATACATTTAAGTTTGGGGTTAGGGTGACCAGATTGCAAATGTAAAAAAACGGGACAGGGGTGGGGGGTAATAGGTGCCTATATAAGAAAAAGCCCCAACTATCGGGACTGTCCCTATAAAATCGGGACATCTGGTCACCCTATTTGGGGTTAATCAAGTAATGACTGAAAAGTGCTTGATGGTGAAACATGCTATATATAACCTGGCCAAATCTTAAAGCCCTGATTCAGTTTTTACTCAATCCCTAATCAGGCAAAACCCTCATTGATGCAAATACAAAATTTGTCTGAGTAAAGTCTTCTAGATTTGGCCCATTGTTTTTAGAAAGCACTTTTCTTTTGTTTCATTCATTTAAACCACATAGTATAATCATGACATCAGAAGAGGTGATTACATAGGATGAGTAAATCTAAAATACTAGTAAAAGCCAGATCCTTTGCTAGTAATCATACGCCATTTAACATCAGCTGTAGATCTGGGCCCATATTAAAAAATCATTATCTTTGTCCGTTACAGCACCTCACGTTGTCCTGACATGCTTTATAATCTTCTACTCTACTCACCTTAGCAAGCTAAGAAGAAACACTTAAGTGAGAAAACTTCCTTATGTTTTGACGTTATAATGAAAAACTGGAAAACTGGATTTATCACCTCAAACTTTCAAGATTCTTTCTAACTGCCTTTTAGAGAGATCTTTAAGATCACTTTTCTTCTTTTTTTCTTAGGTGCGTTCTTTCTTTTATTCTCACGCGCATACACACACAATTTGTGTTTTTATATATGCTCATCTTTTATCTTACAACTAGTACAGTTCCGTATATTATCATCAAAAGTATTTGTAGTGGGAAGAAGTTATAAATGTAAGCGTTGTGAGATCTGCAATTCCCATAAAGCAATTACAGGCACGAGATCTGAGAGGAAGGGCAGGGAATAATATAGTGAAAATAAATTAAATATACAGAAGTATTTGTGAAATCAACAAGACTTTTGCAAATGTTACATAGTGCAATTCTTTTTTCAATGGGGCTCTTTTATAAGAGTTTTTCCTCTATTAAAAAGCATCTACAGTACTCCCTAATCTGAGCACTACTGACCTCAGTTACTATACTGTTATACTTAAGGGTCTGTCAGCATTTCCTTTATAAACCCTGCAGCCATTCTTATAAACACATCTTTGTAACATAACCCCTGCTATATATAAATATCTAGGGTCTCATGAACAGCCCAAAGTCTGTTGTAATTACAGTAAGTTTGAAAGTGAGTCTGAAATAGGACTAAAAGTTTAATTGACTGAAAATATAATTTGAGATGACAATATACATTTAGAGTTACAGGTACTGACAGGTAAAGTAGATAAGTATGTATATAAATATGAGGTATTAACATATCCATATAAATTCTTATGTAGCTCCCATCACAGTAATATCTGACATATAAGTACAGTATGGATGTACATTGCTATAGAGGTATAGGTATATATAATTAGTTTCTCATCCAGTGTGGTTGTTTAGCCACGTGTTATATATATGTACTATTATATATATGTTATATGTATGAACATATCTTGGTGTTTATTGATTTAAAGAACTCTACATTAACAAAGTTTTGAATCAAATATGTAGACTGGGTGTACATATATACATATATTCTGTACTGTGCACACTTAAATATGTTTAAGTTTTAAAGTCCATATTACTCCGATAACTACAGACAATATAATTCATATTAGTATCTAAAGTTAAATAAGCTGTAATTTTTTGTGCATACATTCACTAAATATATCCATGACAACATGCAGATAAAATGTCTAAATTTAAAAAAGAAAAGAAAAAAACTCAGACTTTAAAGTTTTTACCTCTCTGTCTTCACTCTCTCTAGGAGACTGTGTATTATGTGTCAAGAACTGCTCAAATTCCTCTTTGTGGAACAACGTGAAGCTGTATACTGTAGTTCTCATGTGTATACTCACTCACACATATTTAAATGGGTTGGAATACTGTGAACCATTAAATCAAAATTAGGTGGGTTGGAATATTGTTTTTGATTGGTTTATCCAACTGACATCATCAATTGACTGACTGTTTTCCTGTGTGAGACATACTTCTTGGTAATTAGCTGATGTCTAGTATGAGTGTCATGGATTCAAGTGTCATGGATTCAAGTATTGGTATTAAACCCTCTTCCAATTTAAAGTATACAGCTTAAAAAAATCAGACGGAAAGTAAACATGCTGAGTCAAAGAGGCTAATTTCAACTTTTTATTAGATAAATATATACAGATAAGCGTTTGTTAGTTCAATCACAGGATCTGTCAGCCATTTAATTACTAATTAGATAATTGTCTTAGTCTGCTTTGATGGTAAGAAAACATTGAAGATTCTACTTGCAAGTTCTGGTTTTAAGAAAAGTCAGGAAAATGAATGATTTTATTCAGAATCAGTTTGTGGTGGGTATAATTCTTTACTAGCTAAGTTTTACTTCTTTATTAATTTAGGGATGGCTTCTAAAGCTGTTTATAACTTTGTTTGTTTGTTTGTTTGTTTGTTTTGATCATGTTGCTCACATCCGATTCTTCTTGTTTCTCTGCATGCAGATTGCATCACATATTTAAAAAATAGGACATCTAAAAAATTTTATAATTAACAACACATACTGTCTGTCTTGTAAATAATGTTTGACTTGGCACATGTAAAAAAAATGGCCAGAATTTGATCTCACATTAGTGAAAATCAAGAGTAACTGCATTGAGGTCGATTGAGTAATACCAAAGTAAAATCGGTGCAAGGGTCAAAAGTGGGCCCAAAATCTTTCTTTTTTTGTACTCACACATTGTTGCTGGTTCTTTTGTCATTCAGATTATGATCCTGGGGCCGGATTCTGCAGTTCTTACTCATCAAAACACCCATTGACTCCCCATCCTTCAGAATATATTTTCTAATTGTATTTATATATTTTCGTTTGTAACATGGGTATGAACATTTTTTGGAATATGACTAAGTTGATCAGGAAAACAAGTAGAAATATTAAACTTGCATTGGTACAAGGGAATGCTCATGCAGCATAGACTCCCGTCTGAATGGAGAATGGTCGAAGAATGAGCCATGTTCACATGGTAAGTTTGGTAAAATGAGCAAAATTAGGACTTAATGGGAACCATATGACCAAATAGGTTGTGTTGTTTGCAGGAATATGCTTAAAATAAGCCGTTCAGAGTGCCACAAGCTGCTGAGTGTAGGCTCTTGTCTCTTGAAACCGGTTTCAGTAGGCATTCAGAATCATAGTTGTTAGGGAGAGCATTTTCCTCTTTAGAGATAGTGAGAGAGATACTTGAAGGAGCATATAATTTCATTACAGATGAGCACACACATATTTACTCTCAGGACAAGATCTTAAACTCTGGAACACTAAAATAAAGCCAGGGAAAAGAACTTTTTGAGCATGGAATTCTGTTTTCTTAGAACTGATTTGGTTTTAACTAGCACCTCTCACACCCTAAAGTATCCACACAAACTTCAAGGGGACTGAGATTTGGTTCTAAAAGCTCTAAAAAACAAACAAACAAAAGTTCTTTGTAATAACAAGTCTGATATCAGTAGTGCAGTGAATGTCTGTGAACGAGGCAGCTATCATGCACTCAGTAAGAGCTCACACAGCATTGACTTTATGGATAGAGAAAAAGTTGGCCAGGAGCATAGTCGGTTTACCTGTACCAATGCAGCGACTTTCCTCCGAACTACTGCACTATAGTGAACAGCCACACAAGGTAAGATGCTATGTTGCTGAGGTATACAATGAGCAAGACTGCTACCAAGTAAATCATGCTAACATCCATATGATATATGACAAGGATTTCTAGAGAGAGATTAAGGGCCACATTATTCGTTTCAGTGCATGTTCTTCGTTTCCTTAGGGAATTGGTATACAGCTTTACCAAAAGCTTTATGAATGCTCTATTTGATCACTACTTTTTTGCATGCTTATTCCTTTCTCTGTTTTTTTTCTCCACTCCATCCTGCTCTGTTCATTTCATTGTTGTCTTTTACTGTACCTACAGCAACACCTGCTGGTAGTGTTCCAGGAGCACTGCTGGAAAAACCCGCTGATCTGACCCTTCACACTGGCTGCCATTAAGCAGTGTCAAGTCATATTAATGAGCTGCTTCTATTTTTACCCCTTCCCCCAGGAAGGGAAACTGCTCCTCAGAGCGACTCTTGATTTTTTTTTCTTATTTTTTTTCTTTTCCTTTTGTTTTGTCAGATCAAGAATCCAGAA